AAACAGCAGAAGCATAAAGCTTAAGCGGAGCCCATAGGTTGTCTAAACAAATATTCTACCTCTTCTGGCCAAGAAATTGAAAACAGTGAATTTAGGAAAAATAAGCATTGCCTTGGACTACCCAAGGTTAAGAATGTATGGTTTTATTTTTCCTTCGGGTGTATACCCCTGGGTCTCTTAAGAAAACTTGGCGATGCTGAGAGATGGCTGACTTATCTGGAAAATGTGGTCAGCATAAATAATGTACCACTCTGCTTACAGTACTTTGTTGCAGAAATGGCCTTGAAAACCTAATATAAACAGACAATCTGAGGACATGTTTAACTTTTAAAGCACTTAAACTTACGGTGTAAGTTCTGGAGCAGTTACGAAGATGTTTAAAGATTCCTGGTCTGTTACCCACTAGAGTAGCGCTAAGGTGCACAGCTTCTGGCATCCTCTGGAAGTGTGAACTAGTAAGCCTCACATACCAAATCTGTGGGAGATAGACAAACATCGTTTAGTCTTCAGAACGGCATGGTTCAGAAACTAAAATCTGTACTTTGGTTTCAGTTGGAAATCGGGTAGAACACATATTCAAACTTCACTGTGTTGAGGTTTCCTAAAAAAGGTTTTACGTGTTGTGAGAGGGTCTGTTTCTGTGAGTTTGAACTGTCAGGATATTGTTGGCTGTGTGTTTATAATACAGGTAGGGTGCTGGGCTTCAATTAAATACGTTTTTAATCCATAGGTCAGATGTATCAGCAGTACCAACAGCCTGGTTACCCTGCCCAGCAGCCGCAGGCTCAGCCCCAGCAGCAGTACGGCGTGCAGTACCCAGGTAAGCAGCTCTCTTGAACAGCAGTTCGGCTGCAGAACCCCCTGCAGTCCTGAGCCTGTGAGTTTTGGTTCCTGACCCTGTGGGGCAGGTCAGGGTACTGAGCTGCCCAGGTGCCTGTGTTCCTTATGGGAAGTATCACAATTCAAAAGTGACCAGTAAGAGAACACTGTAGGTGTCTGTGTTGTTGATACATAGTCAGAGTTCTGATATCTCAGTCCTACTTGATTGTGACCAAAAGCAGACTTCATTATCAATCAGCAGAATGCCTTATTAGAAGGGCAGGCAAAAGGAGTCACCTGAAGTATGAGCAGCCTTCAGGATTAACTTCCACAGTCATGGGATTGTAGCAAGTGACTAAAACACCCCAGTTCAGCTTCCTTAGATACTGGAGGTATTTGAAGATGGCCTCTCTTTCTTCATCTAGAATGATCTCCATGTACAAAATTTAGTGGTGTGAACACTGTAGTTGTCATTTAGTAAAATCCCTGGCTAATATAAATACTGTAAATTTCAGAGAAACTTTGAAGTGATTTTTTTTTGGTTGTTGATTTTGCTGATATCTCAGGTGAAGACTTTTAGCAGAAGAATATTGTAGTGTGGTTTTTGTGCAGTGATATTTGAACAGTCGTATACCCAAAATAAACTGGACTTCAGAACTTTCAGTTACTTCCTTTAGAAGCAGCTGGCATCTAATAAAGTGTAGTAGGAATCACAATCCAGATAAAGTACAGGGATGAACATGTAAGAGTAGGTTGCATAACAAATTGCATGTTATACTTCTAGAAAATGATACAAAGCATTTATCATTTCTTGTTTTAAAAATCTTCCTTAAATTAAACAAAAGACTCCCATTAAGTGACTCAGAGCCAGTGTGACCCTGTCATGGTACGCAAGATATACAGTGGGAACGCATCAATTTTTATATAGATGAGAATATTTGCAGAGTTGACAAAGATGTTTAGCTTGGATTAGAACTTTAGAACACTTGAACTAAAGGTTGGTGCCTCAGCCCTTGTTCCTGTGCACTGTGTGCTGGTTGGTTTTGGTCTCTAAATGGTATCTTGTTCTCTGCAGATTTCTCACCCACACATTTATAATTAGACAATGACAGACTCGCTGAAGTCTAATTTCAGAAGAAGTAACAAGCCTGTTGGAAGTAGGAGAGTCTATATGATTTTTTAGACTTAAAAACTGAGTGGGGAAAAAAAAAGGAGTTCTAATCTGCTTTCTAATCATCTAATCCATTATTTTACTGGAGATGTTCCTGTGAAAGCTGTAGTGCAATGTGAGTTCTACATTCTAACCACCATCATCAAGTAAGAATGAAACTCCACAAAAAAACTGATTGGGGTGCCTCTGTTTCTCATAAGTTCTTTCACAATCAACCTAATCTGTTAGAAACAGTCTTTTTTTTTTGAGGACCTGGTGGCAGCAGCCTTTGAAGATGTTGAGTCATAGGATTTTTTTTGTTTTGCTTTTGTTCCTGTGAGTATTGTCTCTTTTCAAACTCATGTCTCCCAAGAGCATGATCTCTTCCCACTCTTGTAGATCTACTAGGCAACAGTGTGGCTATTTATACATGGTAGTAAAAATGGACCCTTCAGAGGTTTGTCTCTCTCATGAGTAAATTTTGATCCCAGTTTCAAGGTGAGTTTACTCCAGTGCATTCTTACCCTTACTCTTTCTGTTTAGGGCTGTGCACTTTTAATAATTTGTGTGTCTGGTGTTTAATGCTGACAGGATTCCAGTCACTGGAGAGGTTTCATTGCAAGTAGCTGCAGGTGTGTTTCATGATGAATAAAAGTAGCTATTTCTTCATAAAAGGACTTTGTGCCATTTTAAAGTTTTCAAGAAGAGAAATTCCTTTTGGAAGCTGGTCTTTTACAGAAAAATCAAGTTTGTGACATGTTTATATTGAAGTTTTGTACTAAAGTGTTCTGTTCTGCACAGTCTTTTCATATTTAATGCTAAAGAACTGAAAACACCCATAATTTAACCAGAGGTATGACTTATATTAAACAGCGAGAGTATTTTCATGACAGTAATTTGGAGGTTTTGTTTGGGAAAAGGTTGTATTTTGCCTTACTTGCCAGTGAAGACTTTATTTTTCGTGTGATATGAAGTGAAAAACTACGTGTCTTTTTTTTTTTTTTTTTGTTATTCCGTGTCAGTCACTATTTTATCCTAACTGTTGTCAGTGTGCTGTGCTGCCACGGTAGTGCACCAAAACCCAGGCCATGTGCTTATGTGTGAAAGGCAGGAAAACTCGCAGTTCACTCTTGGTTTGCGTTTTCTCCGCTTACTGCATTGTTTTGCGTTCATCATTGTAAATATAAAAAAAAAAAAAGCCTTTTTGCAGGCACCCACAGTTCTTTGCTGCCTCTCACCCCACCTCGCTCTCTGCCTTCCCAGCAGGCTACAGCCAGCAGCAGCCCCCGTCGCAGCAAGCTCAGCAGTTCCCGGCCTACAGCCAGGCGGCCCCGGCCCCGGCCGCTGCCTTCCCGGGGCAGCCGCAGCAGCTGCCGGCACAGCAGCCGCCGCAGTACCCCGCGGGCAGCTACCCCACGCAGCCCTACACCACGCAGGCCTCCCAGCCCGCCGCCTACAGCGGCTCCCAGGCGGCGCCGGGCACCTTCCAGCCGCGGCCCGGCTTCACCCCCCCGCCCGGCAGCACCATGACCCCCCCGCCCAGCGGGCCCAACCCCTACGCCCGCACCCGTCCGCCCTTCGGCCCCCAGGGCTACACCCAGCCCGGACCCGGCTACCGGTAAGGAGGTGTCCCTGCAGCGGGCAACTGACACATGCGATTCCATCCCAACAGACTCCAGGATTTTTAATTGAGATTCCAAAACTGTAATGAGGCGAAACTATAGCTGTTAATTAAAATCTGCTGGGGGAAGGGAAATGACCAAATCTTTCCTGCTTTAAATTGTATCCGCTTCCTAGTTTAATTTGGGGCCGGGTGGTTTTTGGGAAACACTACTTAAATGTCTGTAAAGTGATTGACATTCTAGCTTGCCTTGTCTGAAGGATATGAAGATGCTAGTTGGAAGTTTAGCCCACTTACTGGGCTTGTTTTTACTAATACCATGATGTACTAAATTAGATTCATTCTGGAGGTAAAACTAGATATGATGTATTATAAATTGTAATGCTCACATGGAAGAACTAATAAAAACCCTGAATCTATCAAGTGGCTGATCTTCATTTTAGAACTTAGGTAATACTGGACAAGAAACCTATGTTAAGTCCATTGTGCATGCTGGGTGTACAGACTTGGCAGTAAAGATCAGCGGTGCTTGGGTGTGTAGGAGGAGGGGCAGATTTCTAGGTGTGTAAATGGTGAACTGCTGTGAGTAGAAATGGCATTCACAGAGGTTTCACAGCGGTAGGTGGGTTTGTCCTGCCTGCTGTTGTTAATTGCCAAGTAACCCAACTGAATAGGAACCAATCCATAAAATCTTACAGCCTCTTATCAATTTCACTTTAACAAGGGCTGGGGGAGAATTGGTTTATTACTTGAACATTCAAGCCAAATGTGTATCTTTAAAAAAAAGAACTCTTTAAAAGAAACTACTTTCCACAGATTCTTTACCACCCAGAAGAATTTGGGAGTGCAATCCTAGTGACTCAATTGTGAGCCAAGGAAAAGCAGATCAAGGGCTGTAACGAATTCAATAGACCATATTACAGCAGAGGGCGAATCATTCTCCAGTTAATATTTTCCATCTTGCAGATTCTAGGAATATGTAAAACTAAGTGGGGAATGAAAAATGAGCTGGAGCAAGCTGCTTGAACTCTCCTGAAGACAAATTAGCATCCTTAAATAGTGCTGTGCCCACATCAGCCATGCTACCCAGTAAGCTGTGGTTGTACCTACTTTTTCTTCTCAGATCTAACACATATCATGTGTTTGTCACACTGTTTAACACAGGCCTATTTCCAGCAACCAGTTTGCTCTGAATAACAGAACATATCTGTGGCATTTGCCACAGAAACTAATCCCTGTTTTCATGTAAAACACTTGAGAAAAACACTTGATTAAAAAATATTTTATTAGGAGTACAGTGTACCTGCAATGTACTTTATAAGGTATTTTCTATAAATGACTACTATATATATCTGGGTGTTCCTGTTCATATTTCTTCAATACATTAGTAAGGTAATGAATAACACCTTTAAAAAAACCTACATCTCTTTATTTAGTTCATAAATGTTCAAGCAGTACAACAAGTAGCTTTGGGAGAGGTTTTAATCAAAGTAACTGTAAAGCAGTTTTAAAGTTCAGTTATCATTATTTCCCCTTCGTCCCCAATGAAAAATGTTTTAGATCACAATTTTTCTTCTTAAATAAAATAAACCTGATCATGCTGTTATAACTAGCTTATTTTTTTCCTCTCATTTGTCTTTCCAAGTTCCCCTGCATAGTACATACATTTGGCTTTTGAACCAGTAAGTCTCAGTGTCTGAAGACTACATTTTCATGCAAAACCCCAGCTGTGGAAGCCAAGTTTCATTGTTTCATTCCATGTATGTATGTACCTGTCCACTTTAATTAGAGAAAACCAAACCCACCCGCCAGCCACTGCCACGCTCATGGGCAGCAGCTCTGACTCCATAATGACAGGTCAAACATGGCTTTTGCTGGAGTTGAAGCATTTGAAAACAAACAGATGCCCCCCCATGCTAATTTGATAATTTAAAGCTGCACATATAGCAACCTACCTCGGCATTTTGGCAGGAGTATAAACTGTACGTGTAAGAAGAAAGTGCTTCAAGTTTACTGGCTGCAGGATATTAAAAACTGTAGAATCTTTTCTATAATTTATGACTGGGAGACATTACAGATGGATCTGGACAGGTAGCTTATGGCACTTGCATTACAAGAAGACCAGGGAATATTTAAAAACTAACGTACATTGCATTCCGTGACCAACTCTGCCATATCTGTGCCTTAAACATTTATTACAACATCACGATAAATAATAGACACACCGTATCTTTTAAAATACCATATAAACCATACCTCAAGAATAGGGAGCCAGCTTCCCTATACATTATCCTACAACATGTCCCTAGCCTGTTTGTGTTTTTAATCTAAAAACAAATTTGTAAAACTGGATAACTACAGTAAGCAGCCTACGCTATTACACAATGAATGCAGTATTGGCATGAGACTTGTATAAACCCTGGCACATGAGCAGGCACTGAAGTGCCAGGCACACCGTAAGCATTGCCGTCCTCGAGCCTGCGCTGGGCAGTGGGGTGGGAGTGGCACATCTTCACCAACTTCATGTCGCATCTACCACTTCCCAGGGATTGATGTGCCACACTCGTACCAGCGGACGTAGTTAATTTGAGTCTCCCCACCTATTTTTCCAAATTTGACAGGTTCCTGACGAACTGCCCTGAAAAATCCTGCAACAGAGAATAGAGCTTAGTTTGCATGAAGCGCTCAGGACTGTACCATGCTTTGATCTCCATGTGAAATCTGTGTACAGTTCAGTTAGTCTCTAAAATAGTTGCTAAGCTTGTCTGCCACAAGCAGGGCTGTTTGCTGCCCCTGCATCCGTTAGGTCTCTGGAGTTTGTCCACCCAACTCAAGGCAGAAGTGCTTGGGATGGTGGCAGCCCTGAGTGGGAGAGGTGAAAGGCTGCCTTCCCTTGAGATGCCAGCACCCACCCAGGGATGGTGCTGGCCAGTGCCTTTCTGTCCCCCCTCTGGCTATGACAGGGTCTCTGAACACTCGTTGCAAAGTCACAATGATTAAATAGTCCCTACTGCAGTAGCCTTGAAACTTCAGTGAACTTCAGTAAAACTCAGCCACTGGGGATAGTTCACACTGTCTCCACATCCCCAAGCAAAAGATCATACCTCCTGCTTTCAGTCTGTTACCTTTGACAATACATGTGCTTCCCTTTCAAACAACTTTAAATTACAAATTAAAGTGAGCAATTAGGGCTGAATCCAACATGATCATCAGAAATGTATGTGTGGGTAAAGCAGGCGTGTCTGCACACAGGCATGCAGGCACACACACAAAATACTGTTCTGCTGATGATGCACAACATCAGCCATGATTCCCTCGCTGCACTTCAGGTCAAATATATGTAGTTAATTCAGAACTCAACTTGCTGCAGACAAGAAGAAAGCGAGCAGCAATGGACAACTGGTCTGTTCTTTCCTCTGTTCAGTTCATTGACTAGAAAAATAAGCTACAGAAAAAGTGGAATCTTCTTTTGTTTGCTTGTTTTGTTGTTTGTTTTTGCCTAAAAGTGAGTGTAGCTCATGAACTCACTCAATTAAATCCAATCCTTTAAGCTGAGGTAGCAAGCTTGTTACATAAAAGGTTTTTTAAAATATAAAATCTTTAAAAATGTAAATCTGGTATAACTGAGAGGTTTGCTGTTCTGACGATGTCAAATTGGATTCAGACCATTTCTTGCACAAAGAAAATACCTTTACAAATGGGAAACACTTGGAAAGAAAAAGTAAGACCCTCTTTAGAAAAAACTCAAAAAACATCCTTCAGATTGTTTGCGTACTTTGTTTTTTGGAAAAACTTGTGAAAGATTTAGGAACTTCACATTCATCTCCCACACCTACCTCAACACATTTCTGGACTTCTGTAAGGTATTTTATAACTGAGGCACAGGAAGGTTTGGTCAACACGCTGATATTGGACTGAAAACCATTCTGCTGTTTTTCTCAGTAAAATATTCCATGACAAGGTCAGCACGCGCGTGTACCAGCACAGCCTGTGTTCTTACCCCACAAGGGAACGGAATACCTCACACTGGCATTGCTGCCAAGCAGCAAGGCAGGAGTTCAGCTGACACAAGTACAAATTTCATACTCTCCAGCCTCAGCAATGTGTGAAAAATAGCCAGGCGGGTCACAGCTGTGTTGAGGACATCTACTTCCATGTCCACTCAGACCAGACTGGAGTTTTGGGCACCCAGTTAAAACCAGTACACAAAGAACTACTGCAGCGTGAATTATATTTTCCAGTAATAACTTTTCAGCTTCTTGTCAGCACCAAACAAAGCTGCTTAATGCCCAACTGATGATTTACTGCTCTTTAAATCAACCTTGCTAGTTTGAACACAACACTTTATGCCTCTCTGCAGACTCAAGTTTGTGATTGGGTTTAAATATGTAATACCAACTGTGAGTAATCTTCTGGAATGTTTTAAACAGGAGAGAGGCTGTTTACTACCTAACAGAACTGGAGCCATAACCGTCTTAATAAGTCATCATTCATCTTGAAAAACGTCTTGACCCTCTTCTACCTGCAAAGACGGCAGTTCCTTTCCATCACCCACCCCAGCAGTGGGTATCTAATCCACTAGCAAGAAAAAGAAACAGAGGAATTGCTGAGGTTTGCTACAGAGACAGGCATAAGAAATTACCATCTTTGACTGGTAGATCTTCTTGCTGTCCTGTCCTTCCATCTAAGAATGAGTCTACAAATTGGCAGTGATCTTCTCCATGGCCCCTCTGGTCTCCTATGTTATAAAATTTTCCTGAAAGCAAAGAAGGAGCAAAGTTTAGTGAGGGCTATTTCCAAAAACCACCAGAGGCAATGGGCTGTGCTCTTTCCTCTGTGGGGAAGCCAAGGTGAATGCTATGATTCTTTTCCTCTCAGGACCTGTAGCTGTAATTTGAAAATGATGTGCAGGTTCCAAGTACAGTGCTCATGGCTACTGACAAAAATGCCCCACTCCTGGCCAAAATTATGCCTGGACGTAATTTTTCCCCCTCCTTACATTTCATACAATAGGGGAAATTCAGTTACTACCTAGAAGCTCACCCTGATTGTATCAAAAATGAGGTAAGTTTTGCTAGTGATTTGAGTGGAAGGCAGGTCCGGTTCCCTGTCAGGAAGCCTCCAGTACCTTCAAAGATGTTTTTATAGACCACCTCCTAACACAGCTGAGGTCTGTTTTATAAATCATTGTATTTTTACAACATATATGTGCAAGTGATATCCTTTAACATATGGATGACCTCGGTCAGTAACTGCTTATCCAGAGCATTAAGTGTGCCTGTGTATTTATTTGCAGGATTGTTTAACAGGACACTTGACTCAACTGAGTAGAAAACAAGGTCTCAAGAACCCCATGCAGTGTGTGCTGACATTACGGGCTGTGCTTATCCTGTTAACAAAGGGAGTCACAGTGAAGGTGTTTTGACAGATGTTTTTACTTACTGATTTGATTTGCAAGACATTAGTAAAATTCAGTTCAGAAGATGGAGGAGAGCATGCTACGTTCTCTTTCCAAGCTTGGCCGGAAACATTTGTAGATAAACTTACCGTTCTTTCTAAACTCTTTTCACAGCACTTAATATGTTCAGCCTTTGGTCATGAGGTTGAAAGGAAAGGTGAGAGCATTTAGAAACAGGCTCAGCACTCTGGTATAAGCTAGGCAGAAAATCCAGTTACTCGTTAGACACTGGCTGTCCTGTAGCCTTGAATCTGTGCCAGCCTGACCATTTCAGAGATGGTGAGGTGGCTTATAATACTGCTCCCAAAGAGCAATTAATTAAAGAGCAGCCTACCAATAAACTCTTTCTCGTGTTTGTGTGATCTGAGCAACACTTTGCCAAAATTTCTCACCTTCAGTTGATGGCCTCTGTGCGTGCAGTTCTTCTCTAGCTTTACAAAATTATTTATTACTATCTAGCTTTGGCTGCAGACATGTTTTTTCCATAGGAGAACTGGTCAGAAGGAGTTCCTCTTAGCAATTTTTTGGTCTGAAATTAAGAACACTCAGGCTGCCCAAAAAGGCATTTTTTTTTCCATGGCTGTTGAAGGTCACACATAGAATTTATTTTTTTCCTCCTCTCAATAAATACTTATTTTTAGGTGGCCTGCTTTTCTGGAATGCCTACAGTGACTGCTCTGGAGGACTGTTAAATGAGGTCAGCAGTAGATGCTGGTTTATAGAACAGTACTGGCATGTGTAACAGAGATCAGTTTTTCTTCATAAGAGACAGAATAAACCAGATATTTTTATGGCTAACACCAGAACAGTAACTTTCAGATACACACATACTCTTCTGACCCAGAGCTTAACCTATGCATAACTCAAACAATTGCTACACATTAATTAGCAGCATTCTAAGTGACTATTACATTTTTACTGCCAAATTATTTCCATAATAAAAGAACATACTTAAAAACATTTAGCTAAGAACTGACTGTTTTTCTGTTTTGGGGATAGCAATTCTAGCATAAAGTAAATTTTTTTCCCAGTGTTACTGTATGGGTGGTCTTAAAAATGTTAGGTCTTTGTTTTATACATTATGAATTCTGCAGCACTAAAAGTGTAAATTCATGCTAAAAACCAGCATGCAAAGATATGTTTGTTGGCTGCCTCATACAACAGCATTTGTACAATGCACCCAAATTTCAGGGTAATTCCATTGCTTCAACAGCAAAGCTTTGGAAGGTATTTTGAGCGTGCAGTGGAACTCGGACCTCAGCACAGCCCTTCACTACTGGCACACATCTCCCAGCTGGCTGGTGCTTGCAAGGACACTTCCTCTGGTCCCGGGGGCAGGATGAGGCGAGGTGTGACAGCGAAACACATCAGAACAGTTTGGCTTCAAAGGGGAAAATTTCTCACTGGCACGCAGAGGCCTCACTTAGCAAATGGGGGGAAAGCAGCTTTCCTTCTGCGTAAATATTTCACTTCTTTTAAATATTGTGACAACTGGTTAGCACTGGTTGTAACAATTCAAGTGCAAGAACCAGGCTTAGCAAGAATAATGAATACAGTGTGTCTGCCTCATCTTTCTCCAGCGAGGTTAAACTTCCACCCTTCCAGCAAGAACAAAAACAACCTAATGAAAATAGGAAAATGGGCTCCTGATACTAAACTTTGCTTTTAAGATTGGAGTAGCTTTCACTGCAGTGTTAATTCACTTGATTTAGGGCTGAAGTCTAGTCCTGCTAGATTAGCACTGCTATTTCCTCTACTGGCTGGTTTTGGGATACCTCATTGCCAGTGCTTGTCATTTGATCACAGCTGATTAGTACAGCATCAGTTGAATGAATGATACCTCTGTTCAAAACAGTCTCTTTTATTCCTGTAATTGCTAAGATGTTATTTACATATGAGGTATTGTACTTCGTGTTAATGACAAGGCTTCCTTGTCTGCTCATTGGAGAATGGTTCTGGGTGCAGGGCAGGGAAGCTTAAAGTTATAACTACATGAGCTGCCTTACACTCCCCTCCTCTTTTATTTCCATACTCCTACACACAGAGACCAGAGCCCTGCTCCTGTGAGATGCTGAGCTCTGAGATGGGGCAATTTAGGGTTATGAAAGTGGATTCTCTCTGCCACAGTATCTCATAATTTATTCGATCCAATGTGTTGAACACACTTGCCTAAATTTCACTCAAAAGGCATTTCCCATACGTGGTTGTATGATACTCATTGTGCTCTGGATGCCAGGCTAATACCATTGTCATTGAGCTGTCCATGATAAAAGACCTCATAGAGAAGAAAGCTCTAACCTTGGGATGGATTATAAGAAGTTAATATATTTCTAAATACAGTAAATATAGCTTGTACAATCTACATAAGTCACAAAGATCTGCCTATCAACTAACTGAAAGACCCTTTTTACAGGCTGTGCCCCCAGCATACACACAGCATGTGTTACTTGATTCAGGTCTTAAATACATCACACTCTATTGGCCTTAAGACACTAAACAAAACTTGAGAAGATAAGGCCAGGAGGCCGGTCTTAGTAATAAAACATAACAAAAGGAGAAATAAAAAAAGGTGGGGGGAAAGCAAAAGTTGGGAATGTCATAACGAAAAAAAATGTCAAAGCAGGTGAGTAAAACCTGTTGACTAGAGCTGAAGTCATGTATTTATAAGTCTCCCAGTAATGAAGTACCCTGCCGTTTACCAAAAAGGATGGGAATAACTGAGTCTAATCCTGGTCTAAAATTAAGTCCTGATCCTCTAATTAAGAATTATTCCAGGGTACCCTTTAAATACAAATTTGGCACTTTTACAACATATGCTATTCACTCTGATCTGTATCAATTTTTTGTATGATGCTCAGTATACCAACAGGTACCTAAAATCAGATGATCATCACAGAGAAGTAACTCTTGAGTCTGAAAATTCAGTATCAAACACATCAATGATTATTGAGCACAAGCAGATTACTGTTTATGATTAATCTGTCTATGCACTAAGTTAAACATATCTGATCACACTTCGGCGAAGCTCATCTTGTTAAACCTCTTAGTTCTGGAACCATGATATCGTTCAGGAGTGTATAATGTGAGCAACACTGATTTGAATGTCTCTTACCTGTAAGTGAATCACTGAGGTATATTTTGTATCTCAAAGAATTGCACAGCTGCACACCTACAAACTTCTTATACCACGTCCTCTTGACGTATTGTTTGCCTTTGCATTCTGAATATGTGTCTGAATTGAATGGGATTTCAGTCCAGATAGCATCTTTTCCCACTGCAGGAGAGGAAAAAAAGAGGCTGAAGTATGATGCTGCATACAAAATTATGCACAAAAAATACATTTGAATAACTAGAATTAGAAGCCTTGATGAAGCAGAATGTACCATGACACCTGCATTTTGAACAGCAAAAATATTTCAGGGAAGCACCAAAGAGTGCAGGTATGATTAATGCAGTGAACTCCTCCTGCTCTCATGTAGTATCAGTTTGGAATAAGCTCATTCTAGCGCCTTGCTAGGGGGACAATGTCTGTGTGTTGACAAAACTCTCATTTACAGAGTGCGTGATACAGTCATCATTTTTCAGTGCATTTAAGCCAAAACAACCTGAAGCAAGTTGTATATGATTTAACAAAAATACGCATAAAAATTATATATCATTAATTATGTGGAAAGAAATGGTGTCTCAGTGCTTGTTAACGTGATGTCCATTACAAATGCAAAAAGCAGCCCAATTTGCTTGAGTGATCTCAGCTCTCCTTTAAAAGCTCAGTCCACCTCCCACCAAAGGCAGCAAGAGTCTTGTAAGATCTAAGCAGAGCTAGATCAAGCCTTCTGAAGCAGGACATTTTTCTAAAACACAATGACAGATAAACAGAATCCTCTGAGTTGTGCTCTGTTAACTCACTTAAAAAGCATGGAGTAACTTATTCATTTTACAGAGCTCTCTGTGCTTTAATGACAAGGCTGAGAAAATATGAGACTGTCCTTGGCTCATTTGTGTACATTGGTTTGAAGCCATCCCAGCTGCCATGGGAGCTCCACATCACGCTGATTGTGTTCCGCTCAGGTAAACAAGCAGCCTGGCATGAATTCCTTACCGGGGTGTGCATGGAAGGAGTGAAACCATGTGTGAATGCTGTTTGATTCCAGAACTCATTTAATTGGTGCAGTACAGCCACCCCCCTCACAAAATCATGCTATCTCATTTCTGAAAAAAGTCTTGATCAGGTACATATAAAAGAGGCTTACTTGAAATTGGCTCGCTCACTCTTGGGTCCGCTGGGGGAAGAAAACAAACATTCAATCAGACACTGTAAAATGAACGCTCCCAATATTTCAATGGAAAAGCGTAGGTAAGTGATTTTTTACAGCTGACATAAGCTGTAATTTGTGAAACAGAAAGAGTTTTGGAAGCAAAGTTAACTTTTGCATTAAATTAAATTAAATGAAATATATTTCTTATGTGAAACTCCAGTATCAATGAGCTTTTAAAAATTTTATTCATGGGACAACACCAGCCAAACAGAGTTCTAGTAAAAACAAAAGTTTAAACCTGTAACCAGCAAAACCCAATTGTACTCTGTCTTATTAAAATTTCAATTTCAAAACCTAAATAATAAAAAGGACACATCTGCAATACTTGCCACAAAAATCTTGGCCCAATATGGGAGAAATGGTGTGTGCAATTAAGAAAAAATAAAACTGAATGCCTAATTTGTCCAAGCTAAATAGGAGACAGAACATAATCCTTGTCATTCATGAAAACTGCTCTTGGCATAAACTTTTTTTTCAGTTTTAACAATCTAGGATTACAAAGAGTGTATTCAGAGTTTTTAAATATGTGTGGCATGGTCTGAACTACTCCCTGAGTAATTTCTTGCTCAGCCAGAAAACCATCAGTGACAGCACTAGATGAGGATTATTATATTATTACACCTGGCTCAAAACACAGATGGAGAAATTCCTCCTAAAATGCTAAATCGTGCTTTATGTGGACCTTAAGTACCATCAAGAAATAAACACTTCTGCACAAAAGATGGTATCTTACTTGCGCAAAGTCATCAAGTCAGCTGTAGTTAGCCTCAGGGGAACAAGAGTAATGCTCTAATTATCACCTCTGAGTCAGATAGCACTTGTCTTGGGAACCAAACAATGTCCCAAACAGGCTTGTATACACCTCTGTAACAGTTTCACAGGAGAGTAAACAGGATGGAAGGGGACTACTGGGACACTGACTTTTCCCAACTGCTATTTCTCAATCCTTATTTCAGCCAAATGACATCACAGTTATACAGCAGCCTTATTGAACAGGTAGCAGAAGTGACTGCGAACACACCGGCCCAAAGGAAAACCTTATGTTCCCCGTCCAGAAGCCATTAACGAGCTTGATAGAAGCAAAAAGATCAAGAATATAAATCTTAGATGACTGAGCCCTCTCTAACAATGAAGTTATTTTCTTGGTAGTGAACACCAGACAAGCAGTCCTCTCTTTTTTTTCTCTTGCAGTCTGGCCATCTCACATCCTCACACAATACAGTCCTGATCCCAGGCTGACCTCCCAGTACTACATTGCTCAGTTGTTAAAAGCCAATCAGGAGATAGTAAGGAGCAAGACCAAACACAGAAAATGAAATGAGAGAGACCCTTTTCATACATCCCCTACACATGGATACTAAAGCCACTGTAAATGATGGTCTGATCTTTGGAAGTCCTTACCTGATTCAGTACTGAATGACACAACATTGCTGCTTGGACCTTCACCAAGAGGGTTTCTAGGTTTCACGTGGAATTCATAACTGGGGAATAAAATAGAAGAGATGAAAATTTTGCAAACCAATTAATACTTCCAGAGTCTGGAGCAAGCATCACACACCTGGTGTTACTTGCCTTCTGGAGAAGAACAAAAAGACCTCAATTCTTGCCCTGAAAACACTGAGATGTTTTTTGTCCTAACTGCATAAGATTTCTCTGAACACATAATTAACCAGTCCTTTTGATAATTCTTTGCACGCATGCTATTAATATTTGATTTAATGCACCACTGGTTTAAGTCTGTCTCTACTCACACAGCAGTTTCAGTTCTGGCAAAGGGGGCAAGTTCAGATGAGGTCTGAAGCAACCTGGTAAACAGAGACTGAGTAAAGCTCATTGCTATTTATTTTGCTTCTTCAGAACACAAACCTCCAATTCAATGCCTCTCAGGCCCACCAACAGTGACAGACAGGGCCAGTAGTGAAACACAGGGCATGTCTTCCAGGACAGGAGCTCAGCCAAGGCCAAGATCCAGTTGTTTAAATATATGTTAATAGTAAATATACGAAGCAATGTCAAGATATTGCAGAGTCTCTTTTGTATGTTTTTATAACAAAATTGCACAACACCAACTGTAGTTATCTCATGATCTCTTTTCATCACTGCTGTGTTGGGAACCAAACACAGTGCTATGAAAACAGAACAAGATGAAAGAAAAAAGTCCAAGCCAGGCTCCTCTTCTTAAGCCTTTTCCACCTCTCAGTGCTTGATTGACAGTGATAGACAGGCAAGACAAAGTGGTTTCTAACTCTGCAGCTCAGCTGAAACATAGCCTTACAGCCAGAAGCTCAAGGTAAACAGCTATTGCATGCTGCAAACCTAAACATATTACTCAGAAGACACCAGGCAGATGAGGCAGGAAAGAGGGTTACAGGGGATGGATACCAGACACAGCGAAGATCTTACATCAAGGGCAGAGCTATCCCAGCAAGGCACCTCTCAGCTCCCCTGGCTCCAGGCTGGCAGCACCTGGGAATTTCTCACTGCTCTGCAACAGCTCAGTGCCTGCCCAGAGAAGCTGCATGTCCTCCATGCCAAGGCACCCTGATGAGTGGTGTGTGCACACCAATGAACAGCACCAGCTCCATACCTTCCCCACGAGCTGCAAGTGCCATGTACAGAGGGGCCTCTCGCATGATCTGAGTGCTTGCATGGTGAGTCTCTCCTAACAGAGTGTCTTCTCATCAGCCAGAGACATCCACAGGACATGAGTTAAAAGGACTGTAGGACTGGAAAATGGGCCCTAACTTGGAGACTAGACACAGAGCAAAGTGAGTCCCAGAAGCGGGCAATTAAACATCCAGCTCTTGACTCGTCAAGGGTCACTTACCCATGATAATTTTGGTAGTTCATGACTATAACATAGCATTGTAATGTACTGTTGGAATTGTTTCCAAACAGCAATTTTCTAAAGAAAAAAACAACCCCATACCACACTCTGCACAGTTGGAAATTTGTAAATTCCATTTGCAAGTCCCCATAAGAATAATTCAATCCAAACTTTGGATTACCTCTCATTGCTTCCTGGCTCCTGCAAAACCTGAGCAGTTCACTAATTAACCTCAGTGGACTATTCATGCAGTACCAAGGAACTGTTTTCCATCCACAGTACTTCTAAGACAATATTTAACTTTAAAATTGCTTACTTAAGCAATTGTCTTTATTTCTAGGGTTTTCTTTTCTTTTTAAGGAAAATACTTAAAAAGACTGGTATGCTGAACAGATGCATTATGGAAATTCATGGATATTTCTAAGAAAACCATGGTCTTGTTTTGAGCTTAAAAAAAGTCTATTTAGAGTAATCTTGACATTTATTCAAACATGCTGCAAGACCACCTTGAGCTATTCATATTACCCTACCATAGGAAGGAGACGTTAAACAAGTAATCAATTTAATAACTTCATAAATCTTCTTCATTATCATTTTCAAATTGTTTAAACAAAGACATGCTTTTGAAAATTGGACCTGAGCAATTAATATTCACATTGGGCATGTGGTACTGTAACTTTTTTGATCAAGAAGTATTCTTATACAGTAGGTAAGGCTGTAGGTAATACAGAGAACTGCAGTAGAGCAGCTGAAGATTCCTTCTGAAGAATCACTGAAGCATAAACGAAGATTTGCTAATATGTTTTGTGTTTTAAAGTAATAGCTAGAAGACACATTTTGGAAAATGTACAAATTAATCCACACCTAGAGGTAAAAGACCCCAAGGAAGTTTTCCTGTTTCCTTCAGAACAGGAGCACCTGATCTAGAGATATTAATGTAATTGTGATCATCAAGATGGCATGTTCTATTGCTTTATGGGCAGTTTATGGTTTGACCTTATGAATGATAATAATCTGATTCTGTGCCTTTGTATGTATTTTGCTCATTTTTGAACAAATATATTGTTCTTAATATACTCAATATACTTTGGCTGCATGAGGCAACATTCTTCAGAGGAATCAGTCCCGTTCCCAAAAAACTTCAATTGATGAGCTTGGACCCATCAATTCTCTAACTCCAGCAAAAGACAAAAACAAGAACTGAAGATCATTTTCCAAGGAGTGTTTTTCAAATTGTGGTTTAGGGATCACTAGGTTGTCTGCAAAAGACTAAACTACAGATGGGAAAATTTTGGCAAGATCGAAATAAAGAACTAAAATCTACACATAGAGATTTCAGCTCATGTAAGCATATAAAGAAAACTGGAGAAAAGGAAAATAATAAAGAAATGTCCAAAGTCTAGCTGAGTCAACTAAGGAAGTGTTCTATTAATAATGTTAAAGAGGAAATTTTTAAGACTAAAATATATACAATTTTATAGTTCTGTGATATGTGTTTTTACAAGCATCACAAGCTCCTTTTCTCTGCCAATTTCAATCCTAAAACAATAGCAGTGGCTTCAACAGTACAAGAATAACAAACAACTGTTTTTGGAGATGAAGAGAAGTAACTAGTTGACTGAAAATTGAAAGTGAGAGAAAGGGAAAGTTAGACTGAGTAATGAAATGATGGAGTGTACATATCTAACCGTAATTTTAAAGCCATGCTGTGGCTCTCTTAACAGAAAATTGTTTAAAGTCTCCCTTTTATGTGTCAGGTGAAAGATCTGAAAAATAAAATGGTGAAAAAAGGGTACTGTCTGCAGTCTTATACACTCCTATACAAGCCACAAGAGAGAGGGAAAAATGCTTAGGTGTTTAAGAAGTATGGCAAAATTAATAAAAGGAAATAGGAAAGCTATAGAATGATTATCCCATGTCTAGCTCTTAGCTAGACTTATTAATGAGAAACTGGAGTCGGTATTCCATCTTTATATCTGCCTGCCTATTATACCAAAAACTCTGCTACCCTATATAAGCAGCAGTCTAATGCATCACACCTCCTACAAACTTCGGAGACCAGGCCTCCCAAATCCTCCCAAACTGTGTTAGACAATAAAAGTCCTTGTGTAGGTTAAATGGACTTTACTTACAGTAGTTACTATGTGGACTGTATTTTTCCACCATAGGAAATCACTATACCACATGGAACTTTGGCAAATGCATCTGCTCTGCATTTTTTCAAATCATGCAAAAGGAGAAGATTTGAGATTGCAGAACTGAAAATAGGTGAAAACAGATTTTCACCATAATAGAACTGGAGCAACTGAGTACAGTTGTGGGACTTCAGGTGAGTTGCTGGGGAGATGCTGTTGTTAGATGACAATCACGCAGGACTACCTTTGTGTATAGAGCTTCTCTGTCTCTGCAAAGTGTGCTTGGATAGCAGTATGATCTGACATAGCAAATGAGACAGGAATGAAAAAAAAAAGAAAAAGTGGTGAGCTTGTTTGAGGAGTCTTTCTCCTATTCAAGTTGGAAGAAAGGCTGTGAGAAATGGGAAATGCCCATGAACTCTGACATCAACAGCAATTTAGTACAAAAATCTGTTGTTTTTTAATAAAGAGTACAAAAACCTCCAGTATTTTCCCACCGCTTTCTGCATGTTTCTGCATTGCGGTTTTCACTGTAGTTCACATCTCTTGACCCTTGCTGTTAACAATAACTAAGCTCCCTGCATTGGTAGAATTTTTGTTTCTTCTTGTATGTGATTAGCACATTTTGGTTGCTAACTGCAATACAAAGCAATATTAGATAATAGTGATAACAGCATAAGAAGGCAGGTATTAATTATTCATACTTCAAGCTAATTCAGTCAGGGTTGAAGACTTACTTGGTATGGCCTTTGAGTAAATTACAGTAACTTTCTCTTTTTTTTGTTTCATAATTTTTATAAGACATATGAAAAAAAACTTGCAAAGTAAGTCATCAATAGATATTATAAAACAGTTTGGTTCATGCATATAATCTGCACATTTCATGTTTACTTCACAGTTTTGGTTGGTTAGTTGGTTTCTGGTTTTGTTTTTCTGAGGAACTTGGATTTACTTTATTTTTTTATCTTTTTTAACATTTCCTGTTATTCATATTCTTCAAGAGATCAAAGCTGGACATATACTTTGCCTTGGAACACAATCTAACCAAAAAATCCAAAAGAGACCACTCAAAATGTTTTTAAATAGGAAAAAAGTATATTTGAAATCACCAAATTACTTAACGAGGCAAGGATCAGTACCCTAAAGGGGAGTTCTATGAAGCTGTGGAATACAAACATCACAGGCTTTTTGTTTCTTATTAACACTCTTTTCCTATTAAAAATCTGCACCAGCAGACTGGTGGACATGTCCTCTAATGGCTACCTGAACTTCCCTAGAGCTATTCGGCACATCTCTGACTGCAGTCTTAATATTTTCTTTATTATTTTCCAGTTACTGCCATCACAAACATGCAAGAGAACTGTTTTCAACAATATTCAGACTCTTTTTTGAAGGCTTGTATAGAAATTAGTGCTGTAAAAATTCCTGGATGCTATGGTCTGTGCTATGAATTTAATTGTCCTTAAACAAACCACCAGAATGAAAGAGAAAATGCACACTTTCTAAAAAAAATATTTCA